CCAGCTGCTACAGGGGCCGGATTTTACAAATTCCCTGTTCGGTGTGCTCACCCGATTCCGAGAGGAGAACATTGCATTGATGACAGACATCCAGGCTATGTTTCATCAAGTGAAGGTGTCAGAGAAACATATGGATTTTCTCCGCTTCTTGTGGTGGCCATTAGGAGATACATCGGTCAAACCAGTCGAACACAGGATGAAAGTGCATATCTTTGGAGCTGTCTCATCACCAAGCTGTGCCAATTATGCTCTAAGAAAGACAGCAGCAGATAATACAAACAGCTACAACAAGTATGTGACTGACACCATCTACAAAAATGTTTATGTTGACTACTGAAGTCTGTGGCCACAGAGCAAGAGGCAGTACAGTTGGTGGTGCATCTCACTGATTTGTGCTCAAAGGGAGGATTTCAGCTGTTGAAATGGACAAGCAACAGCCGAGCAGTGTTGTCAACCATTCCAGAAGAAAAGCGCTCCAAACCAACAAGACAACTTCACCTGGAACGAGACAGGCTGCCTGTGGAGAAAGCACTGGGCCTCAGCTGGAGTGCAGAGAGTGATACATTTTGCTTTGAACTTGCTGTGGAAAAAAAGCCTCACACTAGGCGTGGCATTCTCTCAATGGTCAGTTCAATCTATGACCCTCTTGGCTTCTTGGCACCTTACACTTTGCAACCTAAGTTGTTGTTACAGGAAGCATGTAGACAAAATTTGTCTTGGGATGACCCTATTCCCCAGTCTATGTCACAGTTTTGGTCATCATGGTATCAGGACCTGGAGAAAATAGCAGGGTTTAAAGTGAGGCGTTGCATCAAGCCAAGTAGTTTTAAAGGACGTTTACTTGTCCAGTTGCATCATTTTGCAGATGGTAGTGACCATGGATATGGAACAGTGTCTTATTTGAGGGTACAAGATGAAGGAGGAAATGTGCATTTGGCTTTCATGCTTGGAAAGGCTAGAGTAGCTCCATTAAAGCAGACAACAATTCCCCGCCTTGAACTCACTGCCGCTGTGTTGGCTGTCAAGGTGGACAGAATGTTGAAAAGGGAGCTCTCTATCCAGCTGAATAGCTCATTCTTCTGGACAGACAGTCAAACGGTGTTGAGATACATCAGTAATGATACCAAACGATTTCACACCTTCGTTGCAAATAGAGTGGCTGCAATAAGAGAGGCTACCAATGTGTTTCAGTGGAGGTACATCAGTTCCAAGTCCAATCCAGCAGATGAGGCCTCCAGAGGTCTTTCTGCAGACAGCTTTATGTCATGCAAGAGGTGGATAAATGGCCCGGATTTCCTCCAAAGGCCCGAGCAGGAGTGGCCAGAGCCCTTTGAACCCCAGCCTGTTTGTTCTGAGGACCCAGAGGTGAAAAGAGATATACTGATAAATGCCATTGACACACAACCGCATGATGCTACTACTAAGTTTGTCCATTATTTTTCAAGTTGGGCCAAACTTAAGATTTCAGTTGCTTGGTTGCTCAAATTAAAGGATGTTCTGCTCAGCATGAGTACGAAGAGGAAAGAGTTGATGGCAACGGGTCCCTCTGTTGACGCTTCTATAGCTCCTAGGAGGATGGAAGAGGAGATGAGAAAGAACAGAGCTGCCATTTGTAAACAACTTCTTACAGTAAAGGACATTTCTAAGGCAGAGGTTGCCATCATCCGTTACAGCCAGCATGCCAGCTTCAGAGAGGAAATTAAAGATCTGCAAAGTGGAGCATCTGTTGTTAAGAACACAAGCAACATTTACAGGCTTGATCCAGTACTACATCAAGGTTTATTGAGATTGGGGGGTAGGCTTAGTCACTCAGTCCTACCTGAGGAACAGAAACATCCTTTGATCCTCTCTAAAGACCAGCATGTATCCAAACTAATTCTGAGAGACCTCCACCAGCAGCTTGGTCATGCAGGTAGAAATCATATGCTGTCAGCTCTCAGAGAAAGATACTGGATTACTCGCGCCAACTCAGCTTGCAGAAAGATATTATCTGAATGTGTTGTATGTAGACGCCACAGAGGACAACCAGCAGAGCAGAAAATGGCTGATATGCCACAGGAGCGAGTCTGTCCAGAATTCCCACCGTTTACTAATGTAGGTGTGGACTACTTTGGGCCCATTGAGGTCAAGAGAGGGCGTGTTATGGTTAAAAGATACGGTGTTATCTTTACATGCATGGCCAGTCGAGCCATACATTTGGAGGTGGCTCATTCATTAACAACTGACTCCTGCATCAATGCCATCAGGCGTTTTGTATGTCGCAGAGGTCCAGTACGGCAAATGAGATCAGATAATGGCACCAATTTTATTGGTGCAGAGCGTGAGTTAAGGGAGGCTTTGGGAGCTGTAGATCATACAAAAATCCATCAAGCCCTGTTGTTGAAAGAGATTGACTGGATTTTTAACACACCTGCTGCATCCCATCATGGAGGAGTGTGGGAACGGCTCATCAGAATGGTCAAAAGGGTGTTACTTTCCGTTCTTCACCAGCAAACCTTGGATGACGAAAGTCTTCAAACCATTCTATGTGAAGTGGAAGCTATCCTTAATGATCGCCCCATTACAAAGGTTTCGGATGATGTAAATGATTTGGAAGCTCTAACTCCAAATCATATTCTGCTGTTCAAAGGAAGGCCTACTGTTGCTCCTGGTGTTTTTCAAGAAAGTGATGTTTACCTCAGGAAACGTTGGAGGCAAGTGCAGTACCTCTCCGACCTGTTCTGGAAAAGATGGACAAAGGAATATCTACCTTTGCTGCAAGAAAGACAGAAATGGTCCAGACCTCGGCGAAGTTTTGCTGTTGACGATATCGTAGTGGTTGTGGATCGTTCTGCTCCTCGTGGTTCTTGGATCCTCGGAAGAGTTACAAATACTTACCCAGATAAACATGGACTTGTGCGTGCTGTACAGTTGAAGACACAAACAGGACAACTGGAAAGACCCATCTCCAAAATATTTCTTCTTCAAGAAGCCATTTGAACCAACTTAAAAAAAAAAAAAAAAAAAAAAATAAAAAAATGCTTGGGCCTGTACATTTCTGGGGCTCCTGTTTTGATGTTTGTTGAATTGTGCTGTCTACACAATTGGGGCCGGTGTGTAGGAGCCATTTATAGTTGTTGGTGTTTAGGTATGGTTTGTTTCTGGGTTATTTGTTTTGGGTGGCGGTGACCTATATTCTGCTCTACCACTGGTGGCGGTGTGGAGGGGAATGCTTTATAGGTAAGACGTGAGTGGGCAGAAAGGGTTTTGGGTGACGGGAGGTCATACGGTTTTTACCGCTTTCTTTGGCACACAATAGCCTGCGTCCTCCGGTTAAACTCTGTTATCTTTGACATTCTCCATAGTTACCTGTCCATCTCACTTGATGTAAAGACCGCTACTCTGATTGTTTGGAAAGTTTGTTCATATACAAACGTACTTCAATAAATGGGAACGCCCATACCTCCTATCCTGGTTTCCATCTCCTCTTTTAAGCGTGTTAAATCCCAGATTCCCCGCACCCGCAAGCGACAAAAAGGTGGTTGGTAGTCGCTACAATGAGCATTCAAGTTTAAAACTGTGTTCATACTACCAACTGATTACCAATTGGTGAGAGGCAAAAAAGACTCTTTTCATTGAGGAAAAGCTCATCTATATATACTGATGTAGTTATCTGATTTAATTTTATTTGATAAGTTGTGATTCCTTAATAAGACTGATCCAATAATAATGTTGTTGGGGGTTTTTTGTGTTTTTTTTTTTTTGTTTTTTTTTTTATCCAGAAACTTCGTTCTTAGGATGTAGGAGTTGAAGTAACATACTTTTGGCAGAATTCTGACGTCAAAACTTAAACTGGTACATGCTGGTATGTTTTAATAGACAGGTATGGGGGGTTATTATTCACTTTCCCATCAGCTTTCTTCTGATATTTAATAAAACATGTATTAGTAAAGTTATCTTTGATATGTTTTGTTATATAAAAGACATAGCAATGCCTCCCCAGTCACTTTTGCCTCAGCTGTGTGCAATAATTACCCCTTGCGTATAAATGAGTAATCTTTCAGTAAATGTTATCTATATGATCTTTCAACTGGAGCCCTGGAGGTTTTTCATCGTTCATAGAGTATTGTGATGATGCAGCATCTAGGCTGCTTTATTCATTATTGAGAAGTTTATTATAATAACTGAAAGGTTGAGCACCTGCGCGGCCCTGCCTAGTTTACATGTAGATTATTAGTGCTCAACTCAGATAAAACATTCATACCTATCTGGACAATATTCTGATTAAGAGAGGTTCTGTAATTTACCACCAGGGGGCGGTATTACGCTGTGACTGAATAACACTGAGCCATTGTTAAACATCTGAATGCTAAGAATTCATTCATAAGGATTATAGCCAAACTAAGACAATTTTAATAGGCTTATTATTCACTAAAGAAATCACATTTTATCCCTCCAAGAAAGAATATTCTTTGTATTTTCTCTAGAAAAAAAGCTTTCAAGATATATTTATTTGTTCACCCTTCATTCATATGCGCTTACTGTATCAATGTGAGCCACCATCTATTTCAAGTATTAATTTGGCAGGAAGCAGGGCACACAGGTTTAAGTGGTGGGAAGCCACTCATTTATTTTTTCTGCTTTATTTACAGAAATATGCCTTTGGTGTATTTTATATGCCACCTGCCGTGACCCCATAATTTCTATATTAAAACTGTGTTGTTAAACTAACTCAGCTGCTAAAGTTTTTTTTAACCAAACAATTGACATCATTTTAAAGAGAATAAATAAACATTTAAATGTGATAAGGAAAACATTTTGGTGCCAAAAAAAAAAAAGCAAAATTAGAGGGGGAAAGTATTTAAGTATACATATTTAAGTGGGCTGTTTAAAGCTAACAAATTATGTTTTTAATGACAAAATTTAATAAATAAAACATTTTCACTATAGCCATTTTGTTTATTCAGTCTTCACTCCATCCTTCACAGTTGATTAAAAAAAAAGGAACCAAATACATTAAATCACAGCAAGAAGGATTGGCAAAAGAAGTTTATTTCATGCAACACACGTATGTTTTTAGGTTGGTAACAGAAATATCCAAAAATCTTTAAGATTCTCCTGGACTTGATGGTGCAGGCACAGTCACCACCCTGGGAGCCGTTCGTATCTACATGGATACATACAAAGATCATAGGTCATTAAAGCTCACTTTACAGATGTGCCAGTCAAGATTTTCATGCCTTAATGGTTTCATATTTTTATTACAAGTCTGACCTGCAGATTCTGACTATAACACATACAAGAGGAAACTAATGTCCTGCAATTTCTGTGATTGAGGTAGTGGTTATGAATACAACTGACAAAGAAGAAATAAAAAGATCATCCCAATTTATCTACAAAGAATATCTCCCTAACCAACCGGAGGGTTGTCGGTTCAAGCCCCTGCTTTGGCTTTCATTGTTGTTGTGTCCTTGGGCAAGACACTTCACCTGCATTGCGTACTGATGATGGTCAGAGGACTCGGTGTCGCCAGTGTACGGCAGCCTTGCTTCTGTCAGTGAGCCCCAGGGCAGCTGCGGCTACAATGTAGCTTGCCACCATCAGTGTGTGAGTGAATGGGTGAATAACTGAATGTAATGTAAAGTACTTTGGTCAAGCCCTCCAACGTGAAAAAGTGCTATATAAATATAGGACATTTACCATTTTATCTTTTATTGTTCCAATAACCGTGAGACTTATCAGATTTTTCTTTATTGGACCTGCTGATCACTGGTTAGAGCCAATATAGGATCCACTGTCTCATTCTGCATCTCTAACTTTCTCGATGGTAATTTGTAAAGCAATATGTCATGACTTGGGGTCATAGAGCTGATTAGATGTGAAATTCTTACCTGATATAATTAGATCTTGGAACTGTTTCTGTGCTTTCTCCCATGAACAAATCAGAAAATACAGTGTCTGGATTTTCTCTTTTACCATACCTATGCATCAATAAAAGAAACAAGCATCACATCAGCATCTCCTATAGACTGTTTTAAGAAATTTAGCGGAACACATCAGAAGTTTAAAGACTTACCTCTGCCTTGTAATGAGATTTATGTAGTGTCTCAGATCAGAGTAGTACTTGGCAAGGTCTTCAGGCGGGGCTCCTTCCTGGGGACTAGCAGGCTTGACTGGATATGCATTGATGCCTGAGAGGATACAAACCAGCAGGCAAAGAGCCAGGAGAGTGGGCGACATCATAGCGTCGAAGCGTGTCCTGTTTCAAATGTTGGGAGGGGAGGAAAAATAAATACCAACTACTTAAATTTGCTAAAAGATTTTACACCAAAGCAGAATAAACTGTCTAAATTAAGTGCAGTCCTGCCAAAAAGGAAGTTGTTTTTAAACTGATGGGAGAAATGGGAATTCTCCTTACTAGTGATTATCTGAAGAAAGTGCTGTAGTTGGTTTTCTTGCCGCTGTAGAGCTCCTTTAACCGATTCCCAACATTGCCCCCGTCTTTTATAGTGAGCGTGGTGCGTGAGATGAGGGGATGGTGGAGGGGCTGATTTCATTTTCCTTCAAAGCCACTCCTGAGAAATATCTGTAGCCTCATTAGCTTAATTAAACCTGTAATGGCCGAGCAGTGAAACAAGTGGAGACGCACGTTACATTATGAATACACAAAAGGTATCAGGTTCATTAAAAAGTTGTTTGACACGATGGAACATATATGCCTTCTTGTTTCTTTTTCATAATTTCAGACCAGCTGCATTAGAATCCATCATCTGTTAGTGAATAATTACTTCTGCTTCATAATGTCACAAATTAATGTTTTTCAGGATCACTGAGTTCAACTAGTAAGGAGTTTAATTATCTAAGAGAGGCAGAGTCTTAATCATTGATTCATGTCACTTTGTAGTATTTTAACTACTTTATATTGATCATGGGGTGAAAAGGCACATTTGGCATCCTGCTTGTATGAAGCTGGTGGTGCGTAGCTTTCCTTTTAAGGATCTTAAAAGCTGTAGGTGCTCCTCTAGATGATGTTACAGCTGATTGAGAAAACATTCATATAAATGCTGAATAACACAAAATTACGAAAATTGCTTTTTCTTTTGACGTCAGGTTTCACAATCACACTCAAGTAATCCAGTTGCGGCTGTAATCACATCTTGTGTAACTATAGGGATACTGAAACAGTTGCACCTCTGCTCTTTTCTGCACTACTAACTGACACATATTTGTTTTAGGTCTGCAATTCTGATCCAAACCAGCCTGCACTGGTTCAAACCATAGCAAATAACAGGAAGAAAGCTCAGCAAATCAGACAAACGCACAAACTTCTAATTCAGGTGATGGAGGGCACAAGCGGCTCTCAGCCCTCCGAACGATAAGACAGGACTAATGGCAACTATTTTCTTTGAGAAGCACTCAAGTGAAATTTGACAGGAGATGAGTGCTGCTGTTATCTATGATGGTCATGAACTTCGCCACATGTCTGACATGGAAAGAACATAAAAGATACACCTAGCTTTATATTTTTTTGTGAAATATTGAGATATTATTCAACACAGTTGGCCTTGCTTTTACCATTTATAATGCTCAGAGTAACTTTGTTGTTAAAAAGACGTCCCTTTCTTGTAGCAAACCTGTCAAAGTTCACGGTCTCCTCTCATTCCTGTTCAAAATAATATAAAAATTGGTTCTTGGAAATTAAATGCATGCTGTGCAGCAACTCTGCTTATTGCTGCGCATCTGATTTACATCCTTTGTCTCAGTGCCTTTGGCAAACAAATGTGGAGCAGGTGGAAACGCCACTGAGTCCTTGAGGTATGCTGTCTGATACAAGCAGCATCCTCAGACACGTGTGCCATTTGGACATGTTACAACCACAATCTTTTTGTTTATGTCATACCTCTTCAAAGAGGAGTATATCTGTAAACTGAAGGTGCTTTGAACCATTTTTTGCCAAATAAAACCTGAAGTATGGCATGCTAAAGAGTTCAGCCTCTTTTGGAGAGAATTTGGTGCAAACGTCATATATCTAGTAAATGGAGTCCAGCGGTGTGAGTTGAAGTTTAATCTCGGTTTGAATACAGCTGTCTGATGAAGCTGAGGTTTGTTAGAGAACATTAGTGAACAAACAGCGTCATAAAAGTCAAATAACACAGTGGGCAGATTGAATTCCCTCCCAACACCTACCTAAAATCATAGAGAAATTGTTTCTATCAATTTTTTTTTTTTCCATGTCTATAAGCTCTGAAGCTTTGTGCCTTCAGTCTTGACTAATAAAACCAGTTCTGATGTAGAAAATTTGAAGTTCATCCAAGGGTCAACCAGCTGCAAACATCTGACATGAATTGAAGCATTGACAAATATTTAAACTCTGATAAATATTGCACAGCTGACACTGCTTTGGTTTGAATTTAATTTAAAGATGACATCAGGATTTAAATCTTTCAAGCTTTAAACATCTCAAAGAGCGCTGTTCAATCAATCAGTCAGAAGTGGAAAATATGGTATATCTGCAAACCTGCCCAAACGTGGCTGTCTGCCTAAACCAACCAACAGTGTGAATAGCTAGTTAATCAGAGAACCAGCCATGAAATCCTAGAGAAACTGGAGGAAATGCAGAGATGTGGAATCCCTAAGGAGAAAATATTTATTTTGTATGAATCTGGTCCTTATGTAAGAAAGGCAAAGAATATGAGCCATCATGGAAGGAAAGCCAGAGGAAGTTTTTCTGAGTTGGCAACAAGGGGACACAGAAAGCTTGCTCCGAACTGTCTGGCCTGTATGCAAAATATGATGGCAGAAAACGAACACATCAACCTGATGAAATGGTTTCTATCAAAACAAATTTCATTTAATGATAGAATGGCCTCGAAAATCCCAGCCATGTGGAGAACAGCGGCCTTAAACTGTTCAGAAGCGGTGGGAGACAAATGATTAATTCCCCAATAGTTGCCTACTGAGGGAGTGATAAACAGCTGCCCATTATCCAGCCTATTTTCTCTGTGGAACATTAAGCCATCACATACACACAAGTAAAGGACAGGAAGCTTTATGTTGATTTTGTTCATTTATGTTGTATGGAAGCCAATGAAATGATCCGTTTAGGGCAGCGTGCTGCACCTTTATGCAACCACGACTCATGCAGGAGAGATACTCTGCCACTGCTGTCTGCAGAAGGCTATAACTAATCTTCCCTTTCCTCATAATCTATTCCATCAAGGACTAGGCTCCTAATGTCCACACAACAGTAGGTAAAACGGCAGTGCCTATAACGACATCATTATGTCATGTGGCAAGAAGAATCTTTTTTCACGTTTCACCTTCTTCCTCTAGAGTTCACTACAGAGAGGCAGATATTATTTACTTATTTAGAAACAAAGAACATATAAACCTTTAGTAACGGTTATTTCACTAAACCATTAATAAACCAGTGGAATTTAAATAAGTGGCTCACTAAAATGATTCAATACTCATTAAATGCATTTTCTGCGACTCAATCTTTCTTTTTTATATAAGCATTACTATAGAATTCATAGACTGTATACCTTCAGAGCAAAATGAGAAAGTCAAAAACAAAATGGAAAGAGATATAGTTATGCAATCCTAAGAAAAGCAGTAAGAGTGGGTTTCATTTTGCCACCTGTGGCTAGAGAACGAGATAAAAACCAGAAACTTGCATATAAATCCAATAAAAAGAGATAAAATGACCACCGCTAATAACCCAAAACAGACTGTGGTGAAAACACGTCATCAGACCTCATTTTTGAAAACCAAGAAGCACAAAAAAACTCCCAAGCAACAGGTCTACACAGGCATCCTCTGCTTCATTGCATGCATTTACACATTTAGTTTAATACTCTGACAGCAAGTCATTGAACCGTAGCTGTAGTTTGGTGGGAGGTTATGTGGTCCTATTAGTATGTACCGTGTTCTTGACCAAGCCTGTTTTATTATTTTTGTCTGCCTCTGTTCATTTTCATAGAATTTCTATTTATTATTACTTTAATTCACACTCAAGTGATTTTTTGTCAACATCGTGGGTTTTTCTTTCATGAAAGATGTAACTGACCTTTGGGTTTGCAAAGCAGAGGTTTCCAAGCATTTTGGCTTCTGACCCACAAAAAGTACTAGAATGGAATTTAGTTCTAAAACGTTTATTAACTAATGGTATTAACGTCATTTAAATCAAACAAACATCACCAATCAATGTATTTTTGTTTGTGAATTTCTTTCAAAAGTTTTTAAATCTTTAACCACATTAATAATTTCATCAATATCATTTTAGTGTTAAGTTAAATTTCTGTAGAGAATCCGAGGACCCCATACTTGTTTATCCATGACCTCAAATTTGGGAATGGGTTAAAGCATCATGTCTGTGATGAAGAACTATCAGTTCCATATTGCAGAACCACATCCATTAGAGTAGATAAAGGTTGTAAAATAGGACATGCATATTTTGTCCCCTGAGCCAATCTTTTATTGAAGAACCTTGTAGTGCCTCTAAATCTATGTGGTGTCTCTGCTAAGATAAGGTTATAAATATTTGGACAAAATTTTTTAAAAATTAGCTTTTTTTTCCTAATGGGATGTTAAAATGAGAAGGATTTGTCCCCTTGGAAGGAAGGCTGTAGCGCCCCGGGGGCCTTCTCACCGATTCTTTTCCTGGGAGCAAGTTATTTACTACTCTTAACTCAAACTGGGTAAAACCATATAAAAAGGACTATAAAAACAGGAGTAAAAAATGACAGAGTTTATTCCACATCAGGTCGTTACCGGACAGAGAAAAATGCTTAGAGCTTGCACAGCTGTGGTCTCAAAAATCACGTCCGCGAGCGTCTGGCAAAGTTTGAGCCCCGATGAATGTCATCACCTGCTTCTTATAGCTCATGAGTCTATGTGTTGCATCATGTTGATGTTGAGCTGGCCGTATGAGAAACTGACACGCCATCCATGTCTTGAACTTCATACAGCTTGCTTCTATACTTCAGGGTTACAGATAGCTATCCTCTATCAGACCGGCTCCAAGATGTGCCCATATCCTGTGTACTCTTAAAGACACGAAGGCTGTTTTGATTAGATGACCTCCGTACACACCATTACATCCACAATGTGAAGATCTGACTAACAAAAATAACAATGCACATGATGTATAAAGGAATAAACCTAACAGGGATATTCTCTTTTTTTTCTCCTTTAGTTTTATTAAATATTCTTCATTTTGAATTTAATAAGATCTGTTCAAAGATACAGATAATTGCTTATTGAAAGAAAAGGGAAAGTATTACATTTTCTGTTTCACTTGAAACAGTCTCTACAATTATGGAAATCTTCAGAACAATGTTCTGATGACCTACACAGCTTTACTGATCAGTAATATTGGCTGTTTTTATCTGTCAGAAACAGGCGAGCTCATTTTCGTGAACTCTTTCATACTGAATAACTAAATCTAATAGACATGAAACTATAATGTGCTGCAGATTTCCTAGAGGAAGTTATTTGGAAAGAAGCAGAAAATGAGTGAATTACAAGATTAGCCCTGTTCCTGCGTCTAGGGCAGGGGTCGGCAACCCACACTGCTCAAAGAGCCATATTGGACCAAAAAAAAGAATAAGAATCTGTCTGGAGCCGCAAAAA